CCCACACAGTGACTGGCCTGCTCTCTGGCTGATCCGCTCCAACCTCGAGAACCTTGGACGAGGCCCCCGCTTGCTGTGCTCCCCGTGCTCTGCAAACTCCCTTTTCACCCCGAAGGCTGTGGGTCTGCAGGGCTTGGGTGAGGGGCTTGGGCAAAGGACGCCTTCCTGTCCAGAGACTCCTTCCTGTCCCATATCTAGGAGCCCCGTCCCACGGTCTAACGCACACCTGTCCCACAGGTGTGACCAGCCCTGCCGGGAGAGACTGCGAATCGAGGCTCAGGGCCTCCCTCCCACGTCCGCACCCCCACTGCCCTGCTCCCTGTCTGCCTCTGGACCCGGAGCCGGAGCCTCAGCCAGCGCCCCCCAGCCCCACCTCCGGGGCGCGGTCCCTGGGACTCAGCGTCAGCCTGCCGGTCACCCTGAGCCTCAGCGTCCCATCCAGGGACATCTGCTTCCTGGTCAGTCCAGGGTGAGGGCAGCGCTCCCCGCAGGACTCTGGAGCCACCTGTCTGACTGCTCCTCACAGGTGTCTCACTGTCACTGAGGCCTGGCTCCCTGCTTCGTCCCTGGGCTTGTCCCCGCTGGCCGAGGCCCTGCGGGAGCTGCACTGCCTTCCATCACCCGCTCCCCCCCATCACGGCCCTGCCGCCCGCCCTGGCCGGACCCCAGTGCCTTTCCTCGCCCCTCACGCCCCCTTCTCAGGAAAGATCCGATAAACTCATTCACTCTCAGGTGTAAGTGACGAATAAACAAACATCCCTCAAAACTGATCTCCTTCCCGGAGGCTCTGCTTTCTAACGGGGTCCTCGGCAGTGTGGGGGGCGGATTGTTTTGGCGGGAGGGGGTCCGGCGTCATTTTCCTAGCAGCCCCCTCTTTTCTATGCCACCCAGTTATCCTACACAGTGAATCTGGAGGGGGTCATAACGGCTGGCCCCCCCAAAAGATGCACTCTCCAAATCCCATCCTCCGAGATCGTGACCCCGCGAGCTCAGAGATGCATCTGAGAACCTAGGACCAAGTCAGTCTGGCGCCCTGCCACGGCCCTCAGCGCTGCACGTTTTAAAAAGTACGTGCATGCCAGCGCATGTGTGCCAGACGGCTCAGTGACAGGTGCCAGGATGGAGTGCCTGAGCGCCGTGTGTGCGGGCAGGGGAGGCTTCCTGCAGCGGTGACACCAGTGCCCTCTGGAGACGGCGGCTCCCCCTCCCCCGATGCCCTGCCTTCCTGCCTTCCTGCCCCAGGGGCCCTGGGCACTCACACGTGGCCTGTCCTCTTGTGGGTCCTTATTTTGCAGGCATGGTCCCAGTCCGAGTTTCTTCCAGTGCGATTCTGAGTAAGCACTGTCTCTCTCTCTCTCTCTCTCTCTCTCTGCTGTCTTTCGCCCGATGACTTTATTTGTCAGTTTGGGAGCAACCCCACCGCGTCACAGTGTGGCTGCCGGAGGCTGGGTGGACATTCTCGCCAGCTAAGTGACCGCCTTCCAGCTCTCCGAATTAAACTTCTGTCTCGGATCAAGTAGGAAGAGCCTCAGCCACCTGTGGCCGTCCCGTGGGGACTCAGGTGTCCGCTTCAGAAATCCAGGCAAACAAGCTTCAGCCTGTTCGTTAGACTGTTGAGTTTTAGGGAACCATGGTCC